ATATCAGGAATATGAAATAACCTGTGGAAATTGAGTTAATGTGTTTGAAAAGGCACAAATAAAACTATAACCGCAATAGGGGCCCTGCTTTTCTGATAAACTGGTTAGGCCAAAAATATTGATACACACCTTTTAGAATTCTCTGGGTTGCCTACTTTTTAAAATTTTAAGCAATAATAGTGGAAAGGTTATTACCCAGGCTGCCATACGCTCTCAAAGGTGACATAGGCCCAGAAAATCACTTTGCCAAACGTCCAACTTTGAAATGGACAACTAATATAATTGTCCCTGTGACTTCCCCCACAAAACTGGTATATGGGGTTACTGTTATATTCAGGAGACAATGTTGAAACGAAATACTAAGGCTTTATTGCACTAACCCATATCAGGAATATGAAATATCCTGTTGAAATTGATTTAATGTGTTTGAAAAAGCACAAATAAAACTATAACCGCAATAGGGGCCCTGCTTTTCTGAAAAACTGGTTAGGCCAAACATATCGATACACACCATTTAGAATTCTCTGGGCTGCCTACTTTTGAAAATGGTATGCCATAATAGTAGAAATGTTATTACGCAGGCTGCCATATGCTCTCAAAGGTGACATAGGAGTGGAAAATCCCTTTGCCAAATTTTAGTGTGTAAAAAATGTATAAGACGTATATTAGACCCTATAACTTTCCAAAACCCCATAAAACATGTAACACCAAATTTGGCAACTGTTTGTGATTAAGTGGCTATTACAAAAGACTGGACATAACCCATTTTGAATACCCTGACATGTCTACTTTTCCAAATGGTATGCCATGATGGGGGTAATTTTCATCTCTGGGCTGCCAAAGGCAACATAGGCCCAGCAAACCAATCTACCAAATTTCTATGTGTAAAAATATAAATGGACAAGCCCTATATTAGACCCTTTAACTTTCCAAAACACCATAAAACATATATATGTGGGGTACCGTTGTATTCATGAGACTTCACTGACCAGAAATGTGAGTACTTCAAAGCCATGAAATGTACAAGAACGATAATATTAACACTGGAATTACAGTTTTTATGTGAAAAATGCAAAAAAATAAATAAATCTGAACACCAACTTTGGCTACTGTTTGTGACTAAGTGGCTATTACAAAAGACTATACATACCCCCTTTTGAATACCCTGGGTTGTCTACTTTTTCAAATGGTATTTCCATAATGGGAGTAATTTTCATTTCTGGGCTGCCATCCTATCTCAAAGGCAACATAGGCCCAGCAAACCAATCTAAAAACATTCTATGTGTAAATAAAATTAATGGACAAGCCATATTTTGGACCCTGTAACTTTTGAAAAACCCATAAAACCTGTACATGGGGGTACGGTTTTACTCGTGAGACATTGCTGAATACAAATATGTGTGTTTTATTGCAGTAAAAGTGAACAGTATTATGACATTCACAGTAAAAATGACATGCAAAACTTTCAAAATAACCAAATTTTGTAATTTTTCTATGTTTCTTTGATTTTTTTCACAAAAAAAGTTAGTTCCATATATAAAGTTTAATATGAAATGAAAGCTCTGATTCTCCTGAACAAAATGATATATAATAAGTGTGGTGTACGTAAAAGGAAAGAGGTAAATTATTGTTGAACAGACATATAGTCAAATCCTGTGGTTTGTTTACATTTTTTTTTGGATCACAACTTGTACATTTGGCTCCGTCCTTAAGGGGTTAATATTATGTTTGCTTATTGTTATATATAAAAATCACCCACTCTTTCTCCTACAAATAGGCACCTCCATCTCCGTTTCTAGAGTTTATGGTGCAAATTTTGTCTCAAATTTTATTTGCCCAGGCCCCCAATCCTAACCCTCCTTTGGAATCTGAAGTCCAAAGACTTTTCAGCAAACATGTCCCTTCCCAAATCCCCCCCACACCCTGTAAGAGGTCACCCCAACGTAAATGCCGGGTTTGCTGGAAAAAAGGAGTCCGAAAGGACTCCAGTTATTATTGCCCCTCCTGTCCCTCCCTACCTGCTCTCTGCATAACAGACTGTTTCAAAGTCTACCATACAGAGCTGAACTACTAAATCACTCTGTATGGTACTTTGGCAGTTTGTTTGCTTGATTTCCCTGGATTCCCTGACCTCGGCTTGTCCTGACCATGCTTTGTGAGCTGCCAACTGTTATATTCGTGAAACAATGTATAATCAAAATACCGAGGCTCTATTGCACTAACCCATATCAGGAATATGAAATAACCTGTTGAAATTGATTTAATGTGTTTGAAAAAGCACAAATAAAACTATAACCGCAATAGGGGTCCTGCTTTTCTGAAAAACTGGTTAGGCCAAACATATCGATACACACCATTTAGAATTCTCTGGGCTGCCTACTTTTGAAAATGGTATGCCATATTAGTAGAAATGTTATTACGCAGGCTGCCATACGCTCTCAAAGGTGACATAGGAGTGGAAAATCACTTTGCCAAATTTTAGTGTGTAAAAAATGTATAAGACGTGTATTAGACCCTATAACTTTCCAAAACCCCATAAAACATGTAACACCAAATTTGGCAACTGTTTGTGATTAAGTGGCTATTACAAAAGACTGGACATAACCCATTTTGAATACCCTGACATGTCTTCTTTTCCAAATGGTATGCCATGATGGGGATAATTTTCATCTCTGGGCTGCCAAAGGCAACATAGGCCCAGCAAACCAATCTACCAAATTTCTACGTGTAAAAATATAAATGGACAAGCCCTATATTAGACCCTTTAACTTTCTAAAACACCATAAAACATATATATGTGGGGTACCGTTGTACTCATGAGACATCACTGACCAGAAATGTGAGTGTTTTAGAGCCGTGAAATGTATAAGAACGATAATATCATCACTAAAAGTACAGTTTTTATGTGAAAAAGGCCAAAATAAAATCTGAACACCAACTTTGGCTACTGTTTGTGACTAAGTGGCTATTACAAAAGACTGGACATAACCAATTTTGAATACCCTGACATGTCTACTTTTCCAAATGGCATGACATGATGGGGTTGATTTTCATTTCTGGGCTGCCATATGATCTCAGAGGAAACATAGGCCCAGCAAACCAATCTATTACCGGTACATTTCTATGTGTAAAAACATAAGTGGACTTGCCCTATATTGGACCCTGTAACTTTCCAAAACACCACAAAACATATACATGTGGGGTACCGTTGTACTCATGAGACTTCACTGACCAGAAATGTGAGTACTTCAAAGCCATGAAATGTACAAGAACGATAATATTAACACTGGAATTACAGTTTTTATGTGAAAAATGCAAAAAAAAAAAAATCTGAACACCAACTTTGGCTACTGTTTTTGACTAAGTGGCTATTACAAAAGACTATACATACCCCCTTTTGAATACCCTGGGTTGTCTACTTTTTCAATTGGTATTTCCATAATGGGAGTAATTTTCATTTCTGGGCTGCCATGCAATCTCAAAGGCAACATAGGCCCAGCAAACCAATCTAAAAACATTCTATGTGTAAATAAAATTAATGGACAAGCCATATTTTGGACCCTGTAACTTTTGAAAAACCCATAAAACCTGTACATGGGGGTACGGTTTTACTCGTGAGACATTGCTGAATACAAATGTGTGTTTTATTGCAGTAAAAGTGAACAGTATTATGACATTCACAGTAAAAATGACATGCAGAACTTTCAAAATAACCAAATTTTTTAATTTTTCTATGTTTTTTTTAATTTTTTTCACAAAAAAAAGTTAATTCCATATATAAAGTTTAATATGAAATGAAAGCTCTGATTCTCCTGAACAAAATGATATATAATAAGTGTGGTGTACGTAAAAGGAAAGAGGTAAATTATTGTTGAACAGACATATAGTCAAATTCTGTGGTTTGTATAAATTTTTTTTTGGATCACAACTTGTACATTTGGCTCCGTCCTTAAGGGGTTAATATTATGTTTGCTTATTGTTATATATAAAAATCACCCACTCTTTCTCCTACAAATAGGCACCTCCATCTTAGCTCCCTGTCAATCTGAATTTAAGAAAAATGACAGTTTTCCTTTAAATGCCAGACATGATATTAAAGAACCCCCCTGATATTTGCTATAAGCCTAATGTTACATATGATGTATACTATGCCTATTGGTTTATTACATAATGGTGATATTAGGGTTCATTAACAGTTTGCATAGTGATTGACCTTTTAGGAAATCTGTAGACATTTGCAAGTCTCTTGTTTTGAATGATGTAAATTAAATTGTGATAACATTAATTATTTCATGACAGAGGTTCATATATTGGGAATTTATCACTAAGTGGGCTGTGACTTTAAAAGCAAAAGTATTAAACGTCTCTTTATCTCTTTTTTTATAATTGTTTATTTTTGTGTGCATAAGATTAACAGACCTTTTTACAATGCCACAACAGCATTGGCAAGAAAAATTAATTAGACAAGGCATAGTATTTACATGGCATGCGAGTGTACTGCACAGTTTTTCCATGTAGTGTAGAGTACAGGCATAACAGAATTTTTAACTCAATGTTTTGGCATTCAGGTAGACTGCGCATTTTTATATTGTAGTATGCAAGAGAAACATAAAAAACACACCTAAGGTCTGAGCAGTACGTATCACACTGCTAAAACAGTAAGTAGACATGGGTGCATACAGGGCTCATCGCCTAAGGTTCTAAGGTAGCAATAGGTGGTCTAATGGGTAACAGTGGTTAGGTCTTTGGCCCGTGGGATAGTGGTAGGTGGTTGTGAGTGGATTTGGTACTTAAACCATATCACAGAAACGAGGTCCTAGGTATGTGAGAGAGACTACATGGTGTAAGAACTCCATAACCCCGAGGTTCAAATGGGGGGGAGAGTTATATTGTGTGTCAGGATTACAATATGATCCAGCACGTAGAATTGTGTAACACAGAGGACTGATAGGTAACGTATACCGGAGCTTAGAATGACCCGACTAACGTACCAAAGAATAGTCAGGAATAGCCGAGGTCAAAGGATACAGAAAGAGACACAACGATAAGGAAAAGCTAGGGGTCAGGGATGCCAGAAAACAGGGAAGTAAAAAACAATGCCAAAGTCAAATAACCAGTATTACCAGAATCAATAACGCGCTCTCAGACAAGCACAAGGGAAACCACGACAGGGCACTGAGCAGGATGAGAACTGAGCCTAAATACCCCTCCTCTGGATCTGATAGGGTGTAATCGGCCTTTGACCCCAAAGGCAGTTACCAGGTTTCCATTTGCATAATTGCTGCTCGGCACACCTTTTCCTGTCTGAACAGTAAATTCCATAGGGTGGCCGGTAGAGGGGTGAAGTGGCAAAGCTAATGGTAACAACTTAAAAAGCAGTGGGTTTAAACAGGTTATAATAACATTCAACAGAAAATAAGGACTGTATGATTAGCTTCTGCACTATAAATCTGTGGAGTCTGGAGACTACGTGTCTGCATCCTGGATCTTGCGGATACGGTGCGCTTGCATCCTGGGGCTATGGTTCCTGGTGGAGTGATGGCAGTGATACTGGCAATGTCCCACTGATGTTTGGGCCTGGTTGATGTGTCTGTTGCTGGTGTTAGGCCCAATGATTGCAGGAACTTTGGTGCTTCTGATGGCAAATTTAGCCAGTGGTGATGGCTCACTCTATCCGCAGTTAGCACTCTCGGGTAGCACCATTGGTATGGGATATCAGCTGCTCTCAGAAGTGAGGTCACCTCTTTCAGGGAAGCACGCCATTGCAGTGTTTGGCGACTGAGATCTTGGAAGAAGCTCAGGGAGTGTTTTTTTGTATGGGGTTTGTCCCCTGGTCGCCCGCAGGATGCTCTCTTTGTCGGTGCTAGATTTAAAGCTCAATTCTGACATCTGTAGTTTAGTGTGGTTATTGCGGGGTTGCCCCGGTATGTGGAATAGTCCATCAAGTTACAATCCCTTGTCCTGTTTTGGCGGTAGTATAGCAGAGAACAGCCTTCGGATAAATTGCGGCAGTTCCTCCACGGATATTGTTTCAGGGATCCCCCTTACCTTCAGATTACGTTGGCAAGATGAGTCCTCTAGTTGTCCGACTCGTGCGTTCAGTTGTTCGCACGTGGTGGAGATCTCGAGCACTTGCTTTGTTGTGGAGTCTTGTTTGACTCGCAGGTCATGTACTTCATCCTCCGTGGCCCTTATCTGGCCTGTCAGCGTGCCCAGTTTTTCCTTGAGCACTGCAAGCTCTGATGTGAAGAAGGCTTTGAGATCAGATACCATGCCCGAGAGATCGACCTTGGTGGCCAGTTTGGGTACAGTCTGCCTGTGTGGCCAAGTTTGATTGCTTCATTGTAGTGTCAGCATGGGCACATCGCTGAAGTCCTCATCCACTAAGGCTGAGAGCGAGTCCAGTGCTTTATGAGGTGAGAGGTCCGCCATCTTGGGCCTGCAGGGCTGGGAAAGTAGCTGCTGATATCGCGGTTAAGTCCTGTGCTTTGCCCCCGATTCTTTTTGGAGTTCTTCCCCATGATGTGCTAAGGGTCACAGGCGATGAAGGTCCCAATGAGTGAGGCAATAATCCGCTCTGCAGTGCTGTATTTCCGCGTTTTCGTCGTAGTTCCGGCGCCATGTGTCTTGTCGGCTCCCTGGCTAGCTCTGCCCCCCCTTCTTTATTTCTTTTTAATGGTCTATAGCAGTGGCTCCCAACCCAGTCCTCAAGTACCCCCTAACAGTCCAGGATTCAGGGATTACCCAGTTGTGTCTAAGATGTTTTTAAAAATAAAAAAATAAAAAACAGTTTAGACACAACAGGGTAATCCCTAAATCCTGGACTGGTAGGGAGTAATTGAGGGCTGGGAACCACTGGTCTATATTATTCCACCTAGCCTGCTAGATGAACCCTCATTCCTTTTGCAATTATTCCATGTTACCACTTGAGAGACCAATGCCTATCACACAATGCATTAGTATTTGTAACACTTACAGTATGTACGAACCCAGCTGCGTAATATAACCTCTGCATGTCGTTCCAGAAGAGAAAGGGTGAACATGCTGTGTAAATAGAGAATTATTCCCCTCAGGAGAAGTTTATATTTCACAAAATGGTTTTAGTAAATAAATGTTATATTCATTTTTAGCCTATAATTGTATTACTCGCTTCCTCTCTTCTCAGTCTGTCTTCGGGGCACACGTTCTGAAGATAATTAGTTTCTGCAAACATTACAATATCGCCTGGCTGTGAACTGGGGGTGTGATCTCCAAGCTGTTTTATTCTGAGCCAAGTTCATCGACAAATGACATTGAAGACTTTTCTCCAAATCAGGAAAGAATGTTTGCAAGCAGGGAACATAAAAGAGAGAACCTGAAAAAAAAAACTAGTAAGGGATACTTAAGATTGAGATATGAGTAAGCAAGAACTGAATTCACGGGAAAAGAATACAACATATGTATACAATAAAAATTAATACATTGAATGGGACAGGTAAATCTATACATTGGTAGTATAAAATAAATTGTATAAAAGCAGCATGGGATAGAGACCACGGTTTGGTTTTCTTACCCTGACTATAAGATAATGTTTGGTTAAAAAAAGCAACAACGTTGACATTGTTTTTTTTTTTACTTTCTTTTTTACTCAAATTTAACAATGATATAAAAAAATATATTAAATGAGTAAAAATTTTAGCAATAAGAACATACTTTTCTGACTATTTCAGGGACTTGGAATCACATACTATGAGTCAGATTTCCAAAATAATACTGTACAGTTTTATATCAAAATGTGTTTACCGATAAAATATACTAAATATAGTGTTGTATATTCTGGGAGGGGGGTAGTTGTGACTCTTCATAGAGAGGCTTTGTGCACTGTTCTGACAATCCGCATTGTTTGATACCTCAAGCCAAGCCTACTGTGTCTGTTATTGACAAAGCTATAATCTTCTCAAACTGACAAATCTTTAGAGAAAATTGTCATTTTTATAAAGCAAGCAGCAGTGAATCAGAGAGCAAAAAGAAGGGAAAATGGCTCTAACCAAGACAAAATAAAACAGTCAACAGGAAGAAAAAAAAATCTTCCCGAGAACAGATCAGATAAAAACTATGCAGTAATGGTACGTTATGTCTTAATAGTTTAATAAATGAGCACGGTTACTGTACATGTTTTCTACGGGGAAAATAAGCCCATTTCTTTCTTACAATTCTGAATTGATGCAGACCATAAAACTATTGATTAAAATGTAATGATCATTTGTACAGAACTTGTTTTGTAATTACTTTGTCAACCATGTGGTTTTTTTAGGGTATAAATAAATACATATTATTGCGCTAAATAATGAGGGAGAAATAATGGTTGTGGTTAAAGGCAGTGAAAGGAGAAGAAGATCTTTTCATAGACTATTTATTAAATCAAGAATTGTGGTTAATTAAGAACTCAAGTGCATTGTCTAGGCTAAACAGTCATGCTAGAAAACACATTTGATTTGGAAAACAATACTAGATATTTAACTAATGTATAAATTAATATCTCAATAAGACACTTTGAAAGTAGCCAGCAAAGCCAAAACCGTGGACATACTCCCCAACATTCGGACTAGAGAACTCTAGTCTGAAAAAGAACAGCAAAACCCTATGTTACAAGGCTAACACTTCCTTCAATTATTTTAGCCTTTATATGTACTTATGACAAAATATAATATTTATTTTACTTTACTTGAGCTTTTATTTCTATATGTTTATGATTTTTACATTGTGGAGACTCCTCCCTGGCAGTTTAGTGGCTAATACTCCAGGATGAGTTAGGATCACAATTGCCTGATAGACCAAACGTAATTTTTAGAAAAGGTAAAAGTTTTATGAACTATTTGGCCCCTAGTACTTTTAGGATGCAAAATAAAAAAATAGGTATAAAATACATAATAAGAAGGTTATTATACATGAGGCCACAAAGTTTTTATACATGAGGCCACAGCAAAGTTTGTAGTTTTTTACCATCTAAAACTGTCTTTTAAGAGTTCTCAAAGGAAGATTTTAAGATAAAAGGCAGGGTTTACAGTTCTTCCACACATGTTGTGTACCTCCTCATGTGTGGATGTGGTGCACAGTACGTGGGAAGAATGAGAAGAAAAGCTAAGACCCATTTTTTGGAACATTTGAATAACATTCAAAAGAAAATAACTACACATTCAGTGCCAAATCATTGCAATCAATGCTAGTTTTTTAAGCCAAATAAGTTTTACTATCATCGAGCAGGTATTTTTAGATTAAGTTATGGAGAAGAGAGGGATTCTGGATTCATAAACTCCAAACATTACAGCCCGAAGAGCTTAATGTTGATTTTGATCTAATTTGTTTCTTATGATTTTTTTTCTGGGATTCCTCTCTCTCCGGCTTGGCCTTGATTGTTCTCCACCCTTTTATCGCCCTCTTATTTAATTTTTTAATCAATTTAATTAATATATCTATTAGTACATATTTTTTATATTTCTTTTTTACTTCCCCCTTTTTTTTCTCATATATTCTAGTCGCATATTTATTATGACAATTGCCACTGCGAATATATTAAGCTTTTTTTTTACTGAGTGTTTTTCTTTACGGAGTGTACTTTATGGAGTGATACGTGAAGGTAGCCATAGTGACCTATATTGAAGGACCCGAAAGACGAAAAAAGCATCTGTTTAACTTAAAGTAAATTTATTGTAAAATGTTATATCATTATATTTAAGATTAAAAACTGTCTAATGATCATTTTTAAAGCACAAGATGAAACAAGTGTAGTAATAGAACTTCTACATAATGTAGTAGCAGAACAAACATTGTCTAACATAGTTTAATAATACAATCATGACTAAGATTACTTACCTTGTAATATATAGTGCAGTACACATTTACTTTTAGTGTTCACAATTGAAATAAAACGTAAAGTCTACTAACTGTATGTTTGGAGAGACTGACTTATGTTTTTTGAACTTAAAATAACTTTTGTTATAAATAACAGACTTATACTAATTATTAGTTTTTACGTAATTAATTATTCTATTAATTCCAATGACAAAAAAGATTAACTGCAGTATTATATTTTTTTCCAAGCATTTTTTTTTGTAAGAATATCCATAGCATTATTTACTGTAAAATATACTTTCAACATGGAACATTAAATTTACGGTTCAACCTTAAAGTTACAAAAATAGTGTCTGTCTGCTCTGCTCCTCTCCTCAGATTTAGGTAGCCTTGGACTGTGTGTCATTGATATGATCAGAGCCTTAACAGGTATGTACTTTTTTCACATAGTTTCATGAATGATGAGCTAGTGATACGCTAACAATCAACTGAGCGCCTAGTCCAAGGCTTCCTGATTGAAGACCAAACCATTGCCTTTGCAACTTTAGCGTTAAACCATTTGTAAACAGTTTAACCCTCTAAATTAAGACGATGCCCATAACCTCCTGGCACTACAACAACTGCATTATGAAGCTAAAAAAAATAAGTGAGCACTAAATAAATGAGACATTTCTATTTCTACTTTAAAATACAGAGTTGCTCTGTTTTCTTTTTAAATCATGTGATAGAGTATATCCTTGAAAGGTCCAGGGATGTCGGTTCCTTTCAAATTGCAATTTTGAATGTAATCCTTGCTCCGATGAGCTTGCACTGGATTGAATCTTTAACTTACATTATTTCTTTAAATCATCTCTAAATCTTACGGGTTCCTCACCATTTAGAAACCAAACTCAATTTCCTATGACTTTCAGAAAATCTTTAATATGACGTTTTTGATCCCAGCAAGCTTCTCAGTTTATGTTTAAATGTCTTTGATCTACAATGCTTGCAATTCTAACATCCCCAGCAGATACACAATTAAAACCAAACCTATATCTTGCCTGCACAGAACATCTGTCAGTCAGAAAGATTTCACTGACGGGACGTTAAGAAGTCATTATAAAAATGACGTAATATACAATCTATGCAATTACAGGAGGTTGACTGACAGATGCCCCATGGACATTTTAAACTGACGCTTCACTCTTATAATTACATTTGATGGTTGAAGTTCCACAAGGTTCATTTTTAATGTAGAAATGTTCATGCAGAATTATTACAGCATTGAGTTTTCTTACTCTGTTTAAAAAGTTTAAGAAAGTCATATTTTAAAAATAATTCTGTTGCCATTTTCAGAAATAGCCAGTAGAAATATTACTGTGGAAATCACATTTTTATTTTAACTTTCATGGGATCTCTTTGCTTGAAATAACCCCATAGGCTTTCACAATTTTTTCTTTGTA